ATCCATTGAATTATGTCGAAGCGAAGTCGGAAAATGCGAGATATGCTAATGAAAATTGACATAACATTCCGATATCCTATCCTATTTTAATGACCGCAATTCATTGAAAGTTATTTGCGATACTACTGTTATAAAAACATGTCAATGCGAGTAGAAGACAAACAATGTTAGTAGGAATGAGGTATTGTGTCATCGTGCTTATAATTTATGACAGTCTCTAACATATAAATGTAATGTTAGATATATAACATTTTATGTTAACGATTTAAGCAAATATTTTAAATTGAAAATAAGTAAAATTTATATATAAAAGTATTGCAGTTATGCAGATCAGACAATATTGAGCTTATCCTTTTTATATCCCCAATGGTTGAAAACGACAATGTTGTCGATAACTTTGAAAAGACAAAAATGTCAAATTTTGTATTAACCTTGTGCCTAAAGTGATAATAATATAAACAAAATATTTTTAAGAAATACATTTTCAGAACTTGAAATCGTCGTTTTGCCTAAACTTCTAACATACATATATCTGTATCCATTCACTAAGGACCTCAGTAGATAGTTGAAATCCCTGACAACATATCAACAAGTTGTCGATGGACGTCTTATATTTTTAACGATAGTCACGCTGTCAATTAAGTAAAAGATTGTCGTTTTGCCAGGACTTCAATTTACCAAACTCATGTCCGTTCACATAGGACCGCGATAGACAACCAAAGGTCTCCGACAACAGTTGACTTTATAAATCCGTAAGGGTTCCTACCATAATTATACGTATTTTTAATGCGGATATATAAAGACAAGTATCACAACACCTCCGGTAGACTCTTCTGGTATCAAGGTTTGTAAATTTTTAACAACATTTGTCATTATAAAAATTAAAATACACTCGTTACTATGATTTATGAAACGAACTTTTAACTTACTCTACGCATGGGTACCGAAAACAAATTACCACCATATACAAATATCTGACATATTAGAATATCTGAATTCATCTTTTTTTTATTATCTCCTTACAAAGTGTTAATATCAATATTCATTATCTCGGGATATGCAAATTCAAATGGAGTAGTTTTTTACTAGTGTATAAAAATGTCTTACGTCTAGGATAATCATTGGTTACTACTTGTCATTTTGCCTAGATCATCGATTATCTGACCGAAGTTCATTCCCTTACATGACCTCGGTAGGTAACAAAGATCGTCGACAATACGATATATGTCGGTGTTATTGGTGCGACGTCACTCCATTCACGAGTGCAACACTCTTAGCACATTTTCATCTATAATTAGGTTCATCTGTAACAAGTTTATGTTAGTTTTATGATAAGTTGTCGTGTTGTGGTGATCATTAACGTATCATACCCGAGTTTCTTCTCTAAGGATATTGGCAAGAAAGCGAGATCCCTGACAGTGACGCCGCCTGTAGGGCACGACGGTCTCACACCCTGCGGTGCATCGAATCAACGAAGATATTAATTTTACCTTGCACATATTGCCTTTACACTTTCGATCATCTAAGTCAAATATTTGTTTTTTTACTTAGTCTTTTAGTCTCATTTGACTCTGGTCATTCAAAAATATTTTTTTACAGAATCTTAACTCCTTAGACAAAAAAAAATAAAAAAAATAGTGCAGAGGTTGATGCAAAGTGTGAGGTCGATGGAAAGTAAGGGTTGAGTCGACAAACTTAACTATTACCATAAGAAAATAAAACGTAGTCTTGCATAGACTGACAATGTGTATTTTTTTAATAGTTTTTTAGTTGAAATGACTTACAATTACACACATGTCAATACGGTTTTTACACCTCTTTGTTATCTCTATGACCGAATTCTGAAGTTCGATAATTCAAACTTTAAATGTAGTGGAGGACAACTTCCTTTAAAAAAAGTAGCCCATTGGATTTCCTATATGATTATATCTCGAGAGATAGGTATCCACTTCAGATAATATACGGAGCTCCAAAATCTTATTTGACTAAAAGTGAGTAAGCATTATGAAAACCCTCACTATAGCCTTCATCCTACCACTTCTCTTAATACTGGTCAATGTGGATTCAGTCGAAAAGTAAGACTATGAAATATCGATCCTGCCGATTTCATTAATCTATACTCAAACAAACAACAATAACATTTGAGTGCATATCTTATATTCTCTCGGTTCGTTTAAGTTCGAAGACATGCAAGTAATAGATTAACGCGTACAAAAATTTTCTACCACTTATTCAATACTACACAATTCACGTTCAAACAAGTAATCAAATGACTCAAAGTGGAGTATCCAACTACGCTTTCAATACCATTCAATCCATATACACACAGACTGTCGAATATATAAACAAAACAGTAGGATAACAATAAACAAAATAATGTATATATATTTAAGACGAGTAGTAGGATAACTCACACTGGACTGAACCACTACCCTTCAACATTAAATAAACAGTAGGATAACTCACACTAGACCATCCCACTATTCGCTTAACATCCAACAAACAAATCATATCACAATACATTTTAACATAAGTTGTTGTAAATTTTAAGTTCGTAAAAAGATGAACCTTATTGGAGTCTCCTACTACCTCTTTAATAGTACGAAATATAACTTCAAACAAGTAGTAGGATGACCCTCACTGGAGTATTCTACTACCCCTTCGATTAGATTGTATGCAAACAAACAGAAAACAACCAGCAAAATGACTCACACTGGAACATCTTATTACTTGGTCAATACCAGTTAATCCAGATTCAAGTTCGTAATAGGTTGATCACATTAAACCCCCCTACCACGTCTTGGTATTGTGCAGTCTGACTTCAAATAAGTAGCAAGATGACCCTCAATGGAGTATCCTACTACTTTGTCGATGTTTGATAAGTCGTCCACCACAAAAATTCGGCTACCTTAATACAAATGCTCGACCCCACCATCCCGCAACCTTTAGGGCTGCGACCTACACTACAACCGTAAGGTTGCGAATAAACACAACCCCTACCTAATCTACCTCATGGGTATGGGAAACGCAACGTTAAGGTAGCTAAAGCAATGAAACTAAGCGCGCATACAAGAAAAAAAAGAGAGAGAGGGAGAGAGAGAGAGAGAGAGAGAGAGAGAGAGAGAGAGAGAGAGAGAGAGAGAGAGAGAGAGAGNGAGAGAGAGAGAGAGAGAGAGAGAGAGAGAGAGAGAGAGGTTGAATGACAAAATTGAAATAGGGGTCAGATTGCAGTCGCGATCTATTTTGCAATTAAAATATATATTTTTTATTTCTTAAATATTTTTTACTGGAAGATCACAACAAAATCCTCGAGCACTCAAATTTTTAAGTTTTTCCACGTGTTTGTTTAGCGTGAAAATCACTGAAGCTGGAATACTTTTTCCCTGGCCTACACATGGTTGAGTGACAAAAATAAAAAATGTGTCGAATCGATGCGACGATTATGTTACGGTCTTATTATTTTTATTTTTAATTTTCTGATATTTTTCCTGGAAGGATCATGGGCTACTGTACAGATTCTCAATTTTTAATTTTTTTTTGCAAATTTTTATGAGCATAAAAAATGGTAAAAGTTCGGAGTCCGTCAGGGTTGCGTTTCCCCCCCCGGAGACATTTCAACGTCACTCAAATTTCAACGTCGGTGGTCGTCGAGAGGGTGGGCATTTTAAGGTTTTGAGGCCTTGCAAGGGCGAGGACGACGTAGGACCGGTAGCTGCCCGTAAGAGGTCGAGGAGGCCGAGGTCCTTAAAACTTTTTCGAAATTGAAACGACGCGGGTCCACTTTTCTCTAATAGAAAAACACCTCGAATATAAGATGTACATATTGTATTCGAATACAATGTGTACCCTTTCTATTCGGATTTCGAAAAGAAAAAACTCCCTGCCACTGATATGCTGCATGCTGCAGCTCTCTCTCTCTCTCTCTCTCTCTCTCTCTCGCACACACATACACACACGCACGAGCACGCGCACTCTCTCTCTCTCTCACATACACAGACACATACGTACACACACACACACATTCACGTACACACACACACACACATTCTCCTGTTTATTGATGGGGAGCGCCACCTGCTGGAACTTGGGTCCAACGTCCCCTGAACACCGTGAATAAAGCACCAATGAGACCTCACGCACACTCTCTTGGAGTTGTGTATAGCGAACATAACAAAACATACATACAACATAATCACTACCTTATCTTTCCCGAACCACATCAACAAATAAACTACGGGCTGCGCACCCGTGCCCTCACGGTAAGTCAATTGCCTCTTGCAAGTTATGGGACTGGAACTGCCGGTACCCCTTTTGTGTAAGGGCCTAGGGGAAAGCAACGTTCATCCGTGTCCACACCAGACCCTGCCTCCACGCCTGGGCCTGAGGGCATCGGCGAACGGGTTTCCTCTTTAGCCCCCTTTGCAGTTCACATGCAAGGAGGACCGGTCCTCCAACTTTGCTACCTTGGTTCTACGCGCAATTGTGCAATAGCTGCAGGTACTCCTTAAAACTGTGGTGGACCGGTCCCCCAACAACTTTCACCCCCTTAGAAGTTAGAACCCACTTGTGCGTCAGTCCACTTACTATACGGCAGCCTTAGGGGTGCGAACTGGCTGCAAATTCTAGGACGGCCATTGGCGCAGCAGGGGAAACCACCGTTCCATTCCATCATCCTCCTGGGGCCAGGTCCCACTAGCAGCGTTGAGTTTCCTCAACGCCTGAATCTGGACGTGTCTGTGGACATGTGCAGAAATCGCGTTCAGTGTTCTCAACAGCACATCTCCACGAACGCGTCCAGATTCGGGCGTTTAGGCTGGTGGGACCTGGCGCCTGCCTTGGCCTTTCCCTGCCTTCGCAGTAAGTCTATTCAGTCATTGACCTGACCAGCCCTTCGTTGGCGTTCAGCGCGATACTGACATCTGGGCGAGTGGTGTAGCTGGTGCTGTCGGACTCACCGGTCGGCTTGGCGCCATAAGCTACCGTAGTGGGTGAAGCGAGCGTCGGGAGGAGACTGGTGTGCAGGTCATCATCCGGTTGGCGGACTCCTGTGGACCGCGACCGTTGCGTGCGAATCGAGCCACCCGCCTCGCACCTTAGCATTACTATTCGGGGCTGGCAGGGCTGGAGTACCAGTCTCAAAACTCTGCATGGCTTCCCTTCGTCCGCTGTCAAGCGTGCGTTTGTCAACCGATCAACAATGCAGCCCGAGAGTCTGATATGAACTCTTATTACGATTACGAACGTGATGTGAAATCGTCGGGCTTGTTTGTGTCCCTGGGAATGACGTCGTAAGACTACACAGCAACTGACAGATGGAAGTGGCGGGGAGAAACCAAATTTCGCGCGCGAACAGAGGGAGAAGATAATCGAGTCGAGAACAATCGTTCACTGTTGTGTCTTCTTTTTGGTGTTTTTCGCGCCTCGCCGTGCCGCGCTTTGTGAACTAACTGTATGGGGAAGTGAAGGGCGGGAGGGACTGTTTGTCCTCCATGGATACGAAGTAGGATGAGGGAGTGGGCGAGTGGTCTTTGGCCACCCGCGGAAGAGAGAGAGAGAGAGAGAGAGAGAGAGAGAGAGAGAGAGAGAGAGAGAGAGAGAGAGAGAGAGAGAGAGAGAGAGGGTCCGTTTGCGGCGACGGTGTATTCTACTTGGCGGGCATCGTCGTCCGAGCGACGGATCCTCTCCTCTCCCTTCCTGCTCTCGACGCCTTATTCGTTTCCGTTCTGCTCTGTCTTGGGCTCTCCTTAGCCTTCTCTGAACCCATTGTCTTTGGCCAAGGTTCCACCTACATGTATTCTCCATCCCTGACCGTCGATCTCAGAAATGGATGGTTAGATATGAACAACTTAGGCCAGTGGGGGACGTAGACCTTTCTCTCCTTCTCAGTCATCCGTCCGTCCGTCTTTCCCTACACTACTTACCTCTTCCCCCTACCTCCCCCCTCCGCGCCTTCCCCTCCTTTCTCTCGTTCCACCCTTCTTCATCCTTGTCTTCTCTTCTCGACTCCTGTACTCCTTAGTCCTTCTCTCTCCCCCCTCCCCCAAAGTTATCCTCCTCTCTGTCTTTCTCCCCTACTTCCCGCCTTCCCTCTCTCTCTCTCTCTCCCTCTCTCTCCTCTCACCTGCTTGCCTCTTCTTTATCTCATCATTGACTTCCCGCTTCTCGTTCTTGCTTTTGCAAAATGAGCAATCTTTCCAATTTGCTCTATCTGCTGGAGCCGGCGTCTTTGGCGCTGATGTCGACGGCCATGTTTGTCGTATTAGCCTCGGCGCAAAGGGCGTTGACTTTCGAAAAGGAGTCGGAGCGGCACAGAGAGAAGTCGGAGAGCCACATCACTCTGGACAGCTCCCAAGCACTGATGATTCCTATAGCAAGCTCCTGCAGCCTGCTTGTGATGTTTTATTTGTTTACCTCTGTCTCTCAACTAGTGATGGCGTTCACAGCAGTCGCGTCGGCTTCGTCGTTGGCCTTCTGCTTAGCGCCGTATGTCACACAGTTTGTCACACAAGTGGGAGCGACGGACTCCACCGTCGCTCGTTGCCCCTGCGGCGGAGGGGTCACTAAGTCTCAGGTCTTGCTCATCGGTCTCTCTAGTTTTGTCGTTCTCTGCTGGTTAGTCTCTGGCCATTGGGTTTTGAATAATTTGCTAGGAATAGCAATCTGTATAGCATTTGTTAGTCATGTCCGATTACCTAACATCAAGATCTGCGCTCTTTTGCTCGCCTGCCTCTTCGTATACGATGTGTTCTGGGTCTTCTTCTCCGAGTCCTTCTTCGGCGCCAATGTTATGGTGTCCGTCGCCACACAGCAGGCGTCTAATCCCGTGCACACGGTCGCACACACCCTTAACCTCCCCTTACCCAATACCATTACCAAGAAGTTGGATCTGCCGGTGAAACTAGTCTTCCCCAGAGCGTTCTTAGGAGGATCGGTGCTGGGCAGTCCGGGCGCTGAGTTCATGATGCTAGGCCTCGGGGACATGGTGCGTGTCTCTCCCCACTCGTACCCCCTCAACTCCTCTCTCTCTTTCTCTCTTTTTTTCTCTCTCTCTCTCTGTGTCATTCTCTGTGCCTTACTGTCGACGTGTTTCTTTCGTGTTCTTTTCTTCATCTCTTTCTCCTTTCCACCCCCCTTCGGTACCTTTGCTCTTTTCTTGTGACACCTGTTCTCCCTCTCTTCTTTCTCACTGTTCCTCCCCTCCCGCTCTCTCCCGCATTTTGCTGGCTTGGCGGACGTTCACACTATTAGGTCCTCTCCCTCTCTCTCTCCCTCCTCTCTGTCTGAGCCTTCCTCCTTTCCCTCTTCCCTGCTCCCCGCCTCATTTCTACTCTTTCTTCTCGCCGCGATCTCTGATCCCGACCTATCCCTCTCCTCTCTTTCGCCTCTCTGTCCTCTGTTGTTGCCTACCCTCTCTTTTTTAATTGTCTTGCTTTTGCTTTCTTTCTCTCGTGGTTTGTCTATTCAATCATGATCTCCTGCACTCGTCAGCCTCTAATTAATCCATCTGCTCTTTTTATCTTTCTCTTTTGCGACCAACTCTTCTTTCCCATCGCCTCTCGTTGTCTTTTCGCTTCTCTCATCGCTCTCCTTCCATCCCTTTTCCCTCTATCCGCTGCATATATATATATCATAACGCCAGGGATTAAGAAGAGGTACCGATAGCAAGATCTTCTTCATTATACAAGGCCATCACAGTGTCTTTTTTGGATATTGCCTCCCTTCCCTGCTGGCTTTGAGAACTTGGTGCGCTTCTGATTGACACACGTTGTCTCAACTGCTTTTTTTTTTAGTTATTTTTTTTATTGAGTTCTTTAATGCCTTGCTCGATCTGCATCTCCCATGCCTTTCCTCCTCACCCCTTTCGTCAAACCGTCCGTTCGTGCACTCCTTTCATTCATTCTTTTTTTCTTTGTTTTTGGAGATTATTTTTCGAAAAAGGAAGGCCATGGTAATCTTCTTCTTTGCATCGCTCCAATGATGTTAACGGATGTCCCGTAGGACAGGGTCGTGCATTTTGATTTCTCTCAAAATCCATGTTTTCTTTGTTTCTTTCTTCTGTTCTTTTTATTTTGTTTGAAGAAAGAGGACCGTGCTAATCTTCTTTCTATCGCTCCAATTTTAATGGATGTCCCGAATGACTGGTTGTGCATTTTTCGTTTCTCTCCCTCAATGTTTTCTTTTCCCCCCAATTTGTTTTTCTTTTCCCTGCTGTCTTCCCGGTCTGCCCCTCGCTGCCCTTCTCTTCTCTTCCCATCCCATTTTTCAGGGCTCATTGTTCCCGACGATCTCAGCAATAGTCCCTTTATCATCTTCTTCTTCTTCTTCTTCTTCTTCTTCTCTTGTTTTCTTTTGTTTAAGCAGAGGACCTTATAGCCCTGGTTCTCCACTGTTCACAAGTTTTCGCTATTCACTATTCTTCTGCTTCTTTCTTTGTTTTGATTGCTTTCTTTATCTGTTCTTTCTTTTTTTGTTTTTTTTGTTTTTTTTTTTGTTTTGTTGTTACAGTCTCTCCTTTATGTTTCTTCCTATCTTTCGTTTGTTTTCTGTCCCTATCGTGCGCTTCGGTGTCTTCTACTTCATCTTTTCCCTCCGTGTCTTCTTACTTCGTTGTCTTTTTGGTCGCTTCTTCCCCTTTAGTGCGCTGTCCTCTGTCTTTGGTTTCTGTCTCTCTCTTCAACTACCTATTTCCCCCTCCTGCCTCTCTTCATCTTCTTTCATTTCCGTGAACGTTTGTCTATTCCTCTTTTTTTTTTTTTTTCCTCGTTTAATTTGATTTTCCGCCTATCGCGACCCCCCCGCCAATCACTACCCCTACCCTCTGGCGTCACGTTTTTTTTTCGTTTCGCGTTTTTCCTCTCCTTGTCAGCAATTCTCCATTTTGCTCTGAGACTTCCCTCACGTTTACTGCCTCCCCYCCCCCCCCCCGGCGACGCTCTCTCATTTTCTTTCGGCCTGGTTGGCTGTGTGCGCTCTTTTTTTTTCTCGTGCTGTCCGTCGTCTTTCTGCCTCCTCTCGCGCTTCTTCTCTCTTCGTCGCTGGAAATGGCTTTTGAGTTTCTTACCAGCTCCTCCTCCCAAGCAGAGCAGATGCAGTACTCTTGGGAATGGCTCCCAAGCCACGGTCTCTCATGCTCTTTAGCTTGCCTGGCTGTCTGCGCTCTTCTTTGTTGTCCCGTCCTTCATCTTCCTGCCTGCTTTTTGATCCTCTCTCTCGCGCTTCTCTGGATGTCACTGGAAATGCCTGTTCTCGGACTTCTCAGCAGCTCCTCTTCCCAGGCAGAGCTTGGGGTGCAGTAATCTTGGGAATGGGAGCGCAGAGGTGGAGGCGTCTGATGGGTGTTCGTGGGCAATCCCTTTTCTTGTTCGTTGTAAATTTTCTTCTGCCTCTGAACTCGATCTTCGACACCTGTCACGGCCTTAGTGGCTCAGGATTTGTTTGTGATATCGTTTCTAACCCCGTTTACCTCCCATCGTTCTCTCTCTCTCTCTCTCCTTTTTTCCTTCTTTCCTTCTCTCTCTCTCTCCTTCCGCTTCCTTCCTCTTCTCTCTCTTACGTTTACCTTCATCTTTCTCTCTCTTTCCCCCCTTCTGCTTCTTTCCTTCTCTTTCTATTTTGCTTCTTTTCTTCTCTTTCTCCTTCCTCTTCTCTCTCTCGTTGCGTTCTTTTTTTTCCTTCTTCCCTCCCCTTGTCATTCTCTATCCTAGCAATTCTTCTCTCCTATTATCAGTATTTTCTTCATTTTGCCCTTGTTCTCTCTTCCCTCGTTCGTCTATTTTATCAATCCTTCTAGTCCTAATCAAATCAATCGATATTTCTTTCCTGCCCTCCTTTGTCGTTTTCTATCCTATCAATCCTTCCATCCTAATCCGTGTTATATTTGGTTCCAATGTTCTTCTCTTCCTTTTTTCTCTTATCGTGGGCATCGAGAGAGAAGCGGAAGGAGAGAAGGCTCCCTCCCCCTCCCATCTCTCTCCTTTTTTCTGTTATCGTGGGCGTTCCGATGTTTGAACCCATGTCTGTGCCATGTAATCAAAGAATTTCGTTTCCCCCCCCCCCCCCCCCCTCCCCCTTTTCAAGCACTCATTATGAATTTCGTTTTGCCGCCCCTCCTTTTCAAGCACGCATTAAGAATTTCGTTTTGCCGCCCCCCTTTTCAAGCACGCATTTTGTCTCGATTCGAGGAGAAAAGGCTCCCTCCCCCTCTCCCCTCTCTCTCGCTCTCCTTCCCTTGTTTCTGTTGTGCCTCCCCTCCCCGCCAACACCCTCATCGGATGAAAGTTCAGTACCCATTTGCAACAGAAAGCTGTGTTCATAACCAACTGGCCCAAGCCATAGCTTAGTTGGTACAGCCATGGATTGTTGAAAGTCATTCCGGATACTCAGATCCAGGTTCAGAGTCCAATGGGATCAGATGATTTAAAAAAAAAAGAGAGAGAAAGGAAAAGAGAAAAAACTTGTGTTCATATCCAATATTAAAAAAAAAAAAAAAAACTTGTGTTCATATCCAATCGCTCGTTGCTTATTGGTGTTTTGCCGTGTCACACAATTGGAAGCCGTCGTGCCTTGTCTTGCGATGGGAAGCGGGAAGCAAAATACTAATCGGAGAACCTTGTTTTTAATCGTATGTTATGTTATATATAAAAATAAAAGGACAATAATAACTTACAGTATTAATATAAGTGAAAATGAAAGAAAAAGAAGGTATGGGAACGGTGTAAGACGAATAAATTATAGTGTGGGGAACAGAGCTCGAACGGATCTCTGAGGGATTCGCTTCACTACGCAACATTCACCATCTGACTCTAGTGCATTGTGGACCAGATACATTCGGACTGATCCAACATTTCGAACGTATCGAGACCATTATCATATCCAGATACATCCCGAGCGTTGTGAATTGGAGCGAGGCCCTAAATCAAATGAGGAGATGACGATCGGAAAAAGTTTATAACAGAGGACCAGCCAGCAGTTTGGACTTTTCTGGCTGAGGACGCTGTGATGCCTTTCTTTTTTTTTTTTCAAACAGTGCTTTGTCATTAGCAAAGCAGAAATGAGGCCGGGAAACCCTCACAAACAACCCGGCGAAGTAACCAAAGTTCTGGGACCTTCACCCAGTCCAGGTGCAGGTGTTGAGCTGGAATATTCAGAGGCAGAATTGGTCAAATCTGGCCCGCTGCTCTGATAATAAAACCCAACCCTACCGTCTTCCCCCGAACACAACGCACCCTAAAAATAAATGTATAGAAGCTATATTTCTGGCCAGATACAGCCAAAATAAGGGTGCGTTGTGTTCGGGGGAAGACGGTAGTGGCCCAAAAAAGGGGATACACAAGTCCGAAAAAAAACCGCGCAAATCTGCGATCAGACCGCCTAAAAAGACAAGCACAAGGCCTAAAAAAACAAACAATTCCAAAACAAATAAGAAAGGGAACCTTAAACTACTCCGCTGGCAACCACTAAGGCTGTCTCTTATACACATAGATGTGTATAAGAGACAGCATAACAACTATTGCTGCAGCTACTTTCAGTTATTGTTACACGACCACTACCACCTCATCTACTACTACTACTTTTGGCAGCACCACCGCTACTACTACGGGCCCCTCCTCCGTAGCTTGTCCTCCNGAGAACAAGATGGAGTACAGATTCGTGGGCGCATGCCCTTAAAACGCCCCAAACCTGAAGAGGGACGAAAAAGTTGGGCAATGAAAACTACCACTATGGGGAGGGGGTCAAAAGGGATGGAGTGTAAGGAGTGGGGACGGGGTCAAAAGGGCAATGGAAAGTACCACTTTGGACCATTTCTGGATTTATGCGTGTCATCCTTGCGCAGGGGCCATGCTTTTTAAACCCTTCTCTCTATTGTTCCAATGCTAACGGACGTCCCGAAGGACTTGCCGATTAGGCTTTAGCTGAGCTGATAATCATGGTTTTAGTATTATTTCTGTTATTTTTGCGATTACTATTATTTCTGTTATTTTT